CTATTATATATAGTGCTGCAAATACACACACACACACACACACACACACACAAAACGTACGTGTATATCTGTAGGACAAATTTCCTGCAGTTGGAATTGCTGGGTCTGAAGGGTGAATGCATATGTGTTTTGTTAGATATTGCCACATTTCTCTTCATAGAGATTTTACCGTTTTGTTCTTTGACTAACAGTGTACGAGAGTGCCTTTTCCTCCACGAACTAATTATCAAACTTTTTTATTTTTATTTATTTATTTATTTTTTATTTTTTATTTTATTTTATTTTTTTTATTTTTTAATTTAATTTTTTTTTTTTTTTTTGGGACGGAGCTTCGCTCTTGTTACCCAGGCTGGAGTGCAATGGCGCGATCTCGGCTCACCGCAACCTCCGCCTCCCGGGTTCAGGCAATTCTCCTGCCCCAGCCTCCTGAGTCGCTGGGATTACAGGCACGCGCCACCATGCCCAGCTAATTTTTTACAGTTTTAGTAGAGACGGGGTTTCACCATGTTGACCAGGATGGTCTCGATCTCTTGACCTCGTGATCCACCCGCCTCGGCCTCCCAAAGTGCTGGAATTACAGGCTTGAGCCACCGCGCCCGGCCCAAACTTTTTTATTTTTATAAGGTTAAAAAAATAGTATCTTAGTATGTGGGTTTTTTTAAAAAAAAAAAAAAAAAACAACAAATTTAAAATATATGCTTTCCTTTTAGAGCAGTTTTATGTTCAGGGCAAAACTGAGCAGAAAATAAAGAGTTCCCTTATACTTCCTGTCCCCCACCATGCACAACCCCCCCAGCTTTCTGGATCTTCTGCACCACAATGGCACGTTTGTTAAAAATCAACAAATCCACATTGACATATCATTATCACCCAAATTCCATAGTTTACTTTAGCGTTCATTTTTAGTGTTACACATTAAATGGATTTTAACAGATTTATAATGACATGTATCCATCATTGTAATATCACGCAGAATAGTTTCACTGCCCTCAAATCCTCTGTGCTCTGCCTATTCACCCCTCCCTCCCTCCCTTTATCACCTGGCAACCACTAATTCTTTTACTGTCTCCATTGTGTATTTCCCAGCATGTCATATACTTGGGATCATATAGTTTGTAGACTTTTCAGACTGACTTTTGTTACTTAGTAATAAGTAAGTTTCCTCCATGTCTTTTCATGGCTTAGTAGCTCATTTCTTTTAGCACTAAATATTCAATTGTCTGGATGTGTCACAGTTTATCCATTCACCTACTGAAGGACTTTTTGGATGCTTCTGGGTTTGGGCAATTATGAATAAAACTGCTAGTAACATCTACGTGGGCTAGGTGTGGTGTCTCATGCGTGTAAATCCTAACACTTTGGGAGGCTGAAGTGGGAGGATCGCTTGAACCCAGGAGTTCATGACCAGCCTGGCAACATAGTGAGACCCTGTCGCTATAAGGAATTAAAGATTAGCTGGGTATGATGGCATGTGCTTATAGTCTCAGCTACTCTGGAGGCTGAGTTGGGAGGATTGCCTGAGCCTGGGAGGCTGCAGTGAGCCCTGATTATGCCATTGCACTTCAGCCTAGACAACAGTGAGACCCTGTCTCAAAAAAAAAAAAAAAAAAAAAAAAGATATCCAGGTGCTGGTGTTTTTGTGGACATAAGTATTTATTTGGGTAAATATCAAGGAATTGGATCATATGTATGGTAAGAGTATATTTAATTTTGTAGGAATCTGCCAAACTGTTTTCCAAAGTGGTCGTACCATTTTGCATTCCCACCAAAAATGAAGGAGAGTTCTTATTGCTTCACATCCTTGCCAGCATCTGGTATTGTCTGTGTTTTGTCTTGTGGCCGTTCTAATAGGTGTGTGGTGGTATGTTGTTTTAAATTGTAACTCCCAGAGGACATAAGTTGAACATCTGTTTGTATGCCTGCTTGCCGTTTGTGTACCTTCCTTGGTGAGGTGTCAGTTTTGGTCTTTTACCTGTTTTTAAAATCGGATTGTTTGTTTTCTTATTGTTGGGTTTTAAGCATTCTTTGTTTATTTTGGATTAACAGTTTTTTATCAGCTGTATCTTTTGCAAATATTTTCCCCTGGGCTATGGCTTGTCTTATTCTCTTGATAAATTTACTGTAACAAAGTAATTTGAATTTTCTCAAATGGATACATGGAATCTCCTCTTTCCTCAGCTCAGGACTCAGCTAGTTTTCACTGTCTTCCAAAATTCTTTGTTTATTTATTTATTATTTATTTATTTTTTGAGCCACGGTCTTGCTTTGTCGCCCATGAAGGAACACAGTGGCGTGATCACAGCTTACTGAAGCTTAACCCCTATGGAAAAGTGCAAAATTGAAAGTATGTGTATAGCTTGTTGAGTTTTCTAAGTGAATCTATTATTGGCTTCTCAGTTTGAATTTGCATTTCTCTCAGCAGTGAAGTTGAACATCTTTTCATATGGCTAAGGGCCATTTCTGTTTCTTCCTCTGTGAACTGTTAGTTCACATCTCATACCTAGTTGTTATGGGAATTACCTTTTTTTCCCCCCTAGGAAGCCAGTAAAAACTGGGGATGTTATTCCTTTGTCTGAGATGAGTAATATTTTTTGCCTCATTATTTTCATCAGTCTTTTGACTTTGCTGTTGGTTTTGCAGTAACAAGTAATTTGAATTTTCTCAAATGGATATGAAGCAGGAGCGGCCATGAGAAACACCGAACTGGGAAGGAAGAAGTGTTTATTATTATTGTTACAATTTGTCTAAATGACCAAGCTCGCCTAACAAAGAGAAGCTCTGCCTTTATATAGGCTTATACTTTAGATATTACACATGAAAGAATCTTAGGTTTACAGCCTTAGAAATTACACGTGAAAGGGTCTTGTGTTTACAGTTTTAGAAATCGCATATGAAAGGGTCTTGGGTCTACAGATTTAGAAATCACATATGAAAGGGAGTGGGGTGGGGTTTTGATCTTGTTTAAGTGAAAACAATGTCTTCTGGAGAGATTCCCCCATACCATGCCTGCTATTTACAGGAAGGCGATATAGGAGGCGCCAGTCGGCCAGCCTTTTTTTCCATTGAAATGCAGTGTGGGAGTCGAGGGGGAGGTGATCCTAGATGCCTCAGTCTCCTTCCTCACCACCCGCTTTGAGACCCTCACCGCTCTATAATATTAGTGAAATGTCTCATTCATTCTCATTTTCCAGATCCTCTGAAGAAACTGATTGATAATGATTCATATAATATACTTGTGATGCCATTTTTTGGCTAACTGCAGTGGTGATGAATCCCCTAATCATCTGAAGGAACAGGGGGAGTAAACAAGGGAGTAACAAACACACACCTATTATTACTATGACACTTATGGTGAGAGTCTTGAATCCTCCTAAGGATGAGAACCAGCCTCCAAACAAAGACTCAGGGTTAAATCTGTGCCATACCACATGTGCCAGTTTAGTCATGTCTCGTACAATATCCTCCACTGCTTGATCCTGGTCGTCTATGTGTAGGCAACAATTGGTTAGATTGAATTTTCCACAGTCTCCTCCTTCAACTGCCAGCAAATAATCTAGGGCTAGCCGGTTCTGATAAATCGCATTTCTCATTTGAGTTTCTTGTTGGGCCAAAAGGGACAGAGCTTTGCCTGTTTCATTAGTGAGTATTTCCAAAACAGCCTGCAACCAGATGATCCGGTCGAGCATGTAAATATGAGTCTGGTATCCCCATGACCCAGCCTCCGCCCATGTGGTCGGCCCATAATACTCAGTAATTCTCTCTGGTGGCCACTTATCATCTGTCCATTCTCCTATCTTTAGGTTTCTTTTCTCCCTAGCAGAGTAGACTGGATACCCTAAGAGCTCACGTGTTTTAACAGATAATAGGAAGAAAGAAGGCTTAATGATGCCTATGACACAGCTACCTGTCCATCTTTCAGGCAGCCGTATGTATGCCCTGTGTCTGCATATCCAGTATAACCCAGGCCGGGCTGTCCAATCTCTCCGGTACCCAGGATGATCCCAAGCATCCTGTAATTTTGGAAATTTTAGGAGGGGGTTCTTTTCTTTATAGTTTGAGCTCCACCGGGTTACAGTGCCCACGGTTTCATTATGCAATTGCTGCCCTAAGCAGCTAAGCTTCCCTACTGGATTAGTGAAGCCTGTTCCTTCTCTGGCCGAACAGAATTGTCCAATAATTGAAACCTTTAAAACCCAGAAACTGTTGGTTTGAACCCTTTGAACTGAGGTCAGATCATGGACAGGGTCAGAGGGTAATAACTCACAGGCTTCCTATGGCCACCTGTCACCCATAGTCATCCCTTCACATACGTAGCAAGAAGTGACATTGAGGGAATGGGCCACATTTTCAGCAAGTTGGAGGAACAAGTTCTTTGTCTTTTTTGGAAGTTCTGGTATTGGCTCATTTAATATATCATAAAAGTGCTGGCACACTGGGTGGGCTGAGCGTTTTTTACCTGAATTTGGATGCTGACTCCAGGGTCACGTCCTTTTCCATCAGTTCCTAGCACTACACTCCCCTTTTTCCCATTTGGGTTCTTGGGGGTTTGTGATTATTCTCCTGGGTTACAATGTCCTGAGATGCAGGGGACATTACCCCATGGAATGGTGTCCCTCCCTTTTACAAGGCAAACAGGGTCATTTTTATCATTTTTCTAAGTGGCCCAGGTGACAAATGATCAATAGGGGCAGTCATAGCACCAGTAGGTTTTTTGGCAGAGGTATTTATGCTCTTTTGCATAACTTTGTTCCCATCTAAGGGAACCACAGCACCCCTCCACTGGAAGGGTAGGCATTGATGGCTGCATAGACATCAAACCTTAGGGTGACCTGCTTTGGGCTTCCCTTCTCCTCTGTTTTAGCTATTAGTTTAGTAGGACTATTCCATTGCCCTGTTAGTAGTCTAATTTCAGAAGTCGTACTGTGTAGGGGGCTCTGATGGGTTGTAGCATACATCGGGTTGTCCATCCCCTGGATTACACACCTTATACTGAGTACCGTTATGTAAACTGGTTCCCTTTTGTGTCCCTGTGCACTCATAATAACTGTAGATCAAAAGAACGGCAGTAACTTTATGTCCTGCCTTAGTAACCTGGTGTACACACTGAGAGCATTCTTCAAAATTAGTTAAGGTCCCTGCTGTACACGCCCAAATATTAAGAAGAACAAGTACCACGATGCCTTTCCTCATGCTTCGGCCATACGTGGACCAGCCAGCTTCCGGGATGTGGCTGGAGCAGGGCTTGTTGTCCTTTTTAAGGTGATTTTGCAGTCGTCTCAGTTTGATGTAGCTTCCCAAGTTTCAGCTGCTGCTGGTTTCACACGGTGTGGTGGATCCAGGCTGGGATTCCCTCTACCTTTATGGCTGTGGGGGTGGTCAGGATCACGGGGTGGGGTCCTTTCCACCATGGCTTCAGAGGGGCTGCACTCCAGTCCTTTATCCACATGTGATCACCTGGTAAGAAAGGGTAAACTGGGGAGAATAAGTTTACAGGACATCTTTCATTTACCCAGATTGAAATACCTTGAGTGATTTTCCCTAGAGCTTGTAACTAGCGTCCTAACTCAATCACTCCCCACTCCCGAGGAGTTCCTGGGAGTGCCTGGAGTATGGGAGGGGGCCTATGATATAAGACTTCATAGGGGGAATATCCTGTCCTCCTAGGGGGAGTGCATCTAATTTTGAATAACACCAAGGGAAGTGCCTGCACCCACTTTAATCTTGTTTCCTGACACACTTTCCCTAAGCTATCTTTGATGGTCTGGTTCATTCTTTCCACTTTTCCAGAACTCTGAGGTCGGTAGGCAGCATGCAGTTTCC